TATGTTACCATTTTTGTGGTCATCATTGTTAAAAAGTCTTCAAAGCTTAGGGTGCTGCTTCCATCTTTCCCAATGTCTGCTATCATCTTTTTAATTTCTTCTTTCTTTGGCTCAAAACCAAGAGCACGCATTGCAACCTGCAATATAAAAGCTAATAACTTGTATATCCAGTACACACTTGAAAATTACCTACAAGTCTGTCTGCCTAAAAGAGTTGCTCCTGATTAAAGAAGTGTTAGTCCCATTGTTGTCCCAGGAATGCTATAGGTTCTTAACGTGGTATGCTCCACCAAATTGAGTTCCACCAGACGTAGAGATCTTTGCAAAGCTTTATTCCATACAGAATAATGTATTCATTTATTTATTTGTTAACTTTATTTGCTGCCTATCTTGCTGTGGGGCTTACTCTAGGCTATGCTAAACATCTTGTCTGTTTCTTTTATACAGTTTTTATACAGTTCTTACAAAGCACATCCCATTGGAATATACAGCCATAAATAATTCTTAAATCTTTTACTGCTTTTACTCCTTGATTCGCACTGTAGGAATTTATAGGGATTTGCAATTACCGTAGCTTGTTTTTGGTTTATCTCTAATCCATGAAAATTGTCCTATTGTTCCTACATTTCATGTTCTGTTGGTTTAATAATTTCCATGCAATTTCATTTCCCTATATTTTACTAACTCTAATTTACGTTTTTCTGTTGTTTCCCTGAGACTGCTGTCTCCCTCTCCCTTTCTCTCCAAAAAGATAGCTGCATCAAGGCTGGGAAAACATCCTGTGCTAAATTTTATCAACATGTATATGAAAGTAGTGGTTTGGAGCCTTGTCTAGGAGGGACTCCTATTTTCTGATATATATATCAGATGCTTTTTCTAAGCACATGCTTGCCATTTAGTGTTTTATAAAGTGTTCTATGTTCCAACATGCATCACCAGATTAAGATTAAAAACTTTTAATCTCTGAAACAACAATACCTATTTTTCCAGGCACTCCTGAATTTATTTGTACCTGGTAGAACTCAAGATTCAAATAAGAAACAAAAGTTGATCCAGAAAGCACAAAATGTATGGTATGCTCCCTCCACAAGAGGCCATCTGTGGACTCAACAGTTTTTGACAATTACTGACCAATCTTCATCATTCCCTTACTGAAGTACCATCTATGCTTTGTACTATTTTCTTATTGCAGTCAATACAAAGTTTATTTAAGGAATGAAGCAGCAAAATAAAATAAGGCAACCTGTATAATGGGCTTCCATGGGCATGATGAACAGCAAAGTTGGATTTTGCAAGCTAGTCCTGATGTAACCCTTAATAGACCACTTTGGGTAATATCATAGGTTTGTAAGAAAATATTGCAGCATAAAAAACCCAAAGCAAACTAAATTGTTAAAGAAGACAAAGAAAATTAATACATACCTTCAGTTCTTTGATATCAATGCTACCGCACCCCTCAGTATCAAACAAATCAAAAGCTTCTCTGATCTCCTGCTTCTGATCTTCAGAAAGCTCATGTTTTAACCCACTGCTTTTCCGACGATGGGAGCCACTCAAACTTGGTTTTTTATATCCAGATGCCTTCAGTAAATGCAAGTTAAAATAATGTTTGAAATATTTATTTCATGGAAGTTATATTCCATATTGCCAAACAAACAGTAAACAACCAACCAAAGAACCTCTAAGACAGCCTCACCAGCACTGCCAGGGGGAAACCACTAGAACAGGGGTGTCAAACTCAATTTCATTGAGGGCCGCATCAGCACTGTGGTGCCCTCAGAGAGGCTGGGTGGGCGTGGCCCACTGGATGGGTGTGGCTGCAGTGGTCACAGCCAACTGGGTGAGCATGGCCACCTCGACGTTGCTCGTGGGGGAGGACTCCTGTGGGGGCAGAGCAGGTTGGGGGAGATCCAGGGGGTCTCTGGTGGGTGGGACGGTGGGCAGGAGGCTCGTCCTGAGGGGTGAGGCGAGGCAGCTGCCTGACACCAGCAGCCCCCACACACAGAGGCCAGCGAGCGCTTGGGGGCCGACAGTGTCAGTTAGCAGTCACAGCCTGCCGGCCCCTCAGCCGGCACACTATGGCGCTCCACAGCCAGCTGCGAATACCGGGCCAGCCCTCCAGCAGCAGGCGGAGATGGGACAGAGTAGGTATGTCCAGCGGTCCACATCATGTGCTGCCAACCGACTCCACATGCTGCCGGTGCCGCCGCAACGCTGGATATGGAGGGTCGGCCTGATATTCACAACAGGTTATGCAGCTCCTGCTGCCGGACGCTGTCGGCTCCTGCACACTCACCACCTCCTGTGCACGCACCTTGGAGGCTGCCAAGCTGGCCGGGGTTAGGCCAGTCCCTCGCCATCTCCGGGGCATCCTGGGGGCCAAATATTGGCCTTTTGTTTGACATGTCTGCATTAGAATATAAAGTTACTCCTTTCTAGCACTGATGATGTTACCTAGTTTGGGTAATGAAACATCTGCAAGAAAACAACCAAGATCAGACCAAAGACCCCTCATTTCAATCTACAAATATTCTTCTTTATTAATACCACATTGCTTTGAAGTGTATATATTCACTACTATGTGGTACTTACGGTATATTGTCCATTTGTACTGTAGTTAGATATAAGCAGAATCAAAAATATTAGTAGGTAAAAAACAATTTTCCCCTTAAAACTATATTTCAATTACTTTATCTGTCTACATGCAGATGTAATTTGTATGCCCTCTCAAGGGGAACAAATAGAAACACTTGACAGATGTGAATAAACTGCAAAAATTTGCAATTTTTAATAAGACTGGGAAACTGGAATCATACATGGCACTAAGCCATGTTTACTTTTAATTGAGTGTGTTGCGGAAATACACCCGTTTTATAAACCATGATTTTCAGCCCGCTGTAGTCAGCAAGTTATGGCTGAAATCCACGCATGAGGTGCCTTTTTACTACAAGTATTACAGCTGCAAAGAGAAAACAAAATCCATTGTATTACTACAATAAAAGCTATTTAGATCGCCCTAGTTTCTTCATAACCCAGTTCTTGATTTACGGTATTTATGACTCACGTGTATTCACTGGCAAAAAAAGACACCAGTTCTCTGCACATTTATTCAGGAATAAGTAGGGAAACTTTTTTTCCCCCTCCCAGCAGAAATTCAGAAGATCGAGATACAACACTTGCTTTTTAAAAATCTGATCAGTTCTAAAAATATCCGCGAGTAAAATAGGGCATAGATTTACTACAGCCAATCAGGCTGGATTTGGCGCGAAAAACATTCCGAAAAGTCAGGATGAATCATTAGAGATTTAATGACGCTGTAACTTAATTCGGTTAACTAGATCCAGAGAGAGGTGAGAAAGGCTACAAAAAGATTCACAGATATTATTTCCTTTGCCAAAATCTGGGAAAACAAACACTCACCATTATCTTACAATAGCTGGGTTCACTTATTCAAGAAACCACACAAACCAAACCACCTGCAAAAATTGATTACGTTCCGCCTCTATGTGCCTGGATTGTCCAATCACAGAAAAGATTCCCGCGAAAACTCGCGTCTATTCGTTCCCAAGGCCAATCAAGAAACGCGAGTGACGGCCGGGCTTTGTGACGCCATTCGGAGCTCGTGTTGCCGTTTCCGCTGGATACACAACAAACGAGGCGCTGGCGTCCTAGTAACCAGACGCGCTCCCAAGGACGCTAGGACAGGGGTAGGCAACCTCGGCTCTTTTATGACTCATGGACTTCAACTCCCAGAATTCCTGAGTCAGCTATGCTGACTCAGGAATTCTGGGAGTTGAAGTCCATGAGTCATAAAAGAGCCGAGGTTGCCTACCCCTGCGCTAGGAGGTTGAGTGTTGGTTTCCCTGGGTAGCTGCTGGTTGACAAATTATTTTGCAATAAGCCAAGGAAGTAGGTGGTGGCAGGGTGAATTCAATTTGCGCTGAGATTATTGCGGTAGGAATATTCGGAATAAGGCGTTGGTTTTTGACCACTTCATGGGATGCTTTTCATTAACGAAAGAACAAGGTAGCCAAATTGGCCCAGCAGGAACACCAAACAAACCCTCGTGTGTAACAACGCAGGTTCTCTAGCCATTTACCAGTCACAGAAGCAGACAGTGAAAATAAATGTATCAAGGTCTCAGCAGGATCAGAACAATAATATTGGAAACTATTGCAATTTCACGAGACTTATTTCTAAACTAAAAGGTTTTTTTTTTTTGGCTCAAGCCTTTCATAAAATCCTTCCGAATCATTACTTAGGGTTGTAAAGCCTCTTGTTCGTTTTTTTACACTTTTCTATAGGGATCGTACTAAACTGAAGGACTATCGGAAATAATAAAAAGCTCAAGCAAATATATGAACTGAAAGCAGAGTTGGGAAATAATTATTGACACGAATGAGTTCCTAGATGAAATAACCGACAGATAGAGCAAAAATATATTTTTAAGAGGATCACTGGATAAAAGTGATTCGTGAATTTCCTGTCGGTTTTCGCTATTTTACATAATTTACGATTTTCAATGAGCTTTAATAACTGACCTGAACATATCAATACTTTCTGAAGCAAATATTAAAACCGCACAACAAAAGATTAAAATATTTAAAATGTAGTAGAAAAATTATGCACCTTTTTCTGAGCTCTTGATTAGAATGTATTTAAATATTGTAGGAGACGTCAAAAATAATTTTCAAAGCAATAGGAAAATAGTGGAAGCCAATGCTGTCATTAGGATCCCACTCCCTGCTTTTATTTAGTTCTTTGCAACTTAAGCTGCAGTCGAATTATATTAATGCTTATTCCCCTGTTCGAAAAGCTTCCCATGGTCTCAATAGATTTCTCTCTCTCTCTCTCTCTCTCTCTCTCCATATATATATCGCTCACTGTTTCATCTTTTCATCTTTTCGCTCAAGTAAGGGCAGAATGCGGGCAAAAGCTTCAGATGCTATCGAGCATGCTCAGAATACATATCCGTCCGGGGCAAGCATCGCACAGACCGTGATTGCTCGAAATGTAACCGATGGCGCCTCCTTTGCAAAGAGGCAAAATTAGGGCCCTTATGGAAGAAGGGTTAGTAGTTTCTCGGGTCCAAGGCGCGGATTCTAACATTCACAAGAAACTAAAGCTGGACAGGTAATTGCTTTAAAGCCGATTCAGTTCGCGGGAGATATTTGGCGCGCTCCTTTGGAAAAACCTGCATCTCAATTCTGCCCAACTTCTCCCCCACCTTACTGGGCGAAGGGGGCGGGGGGCGGGGGGAGAGCAGCAGATGTTGCTGATTGACACTCTCGCGCCGCGCTGTCCCTCCCTCTGGTGACGCGAGAGGGATCTGCCTCGACCACTTCTCTGCTTCCCCAGAGGCGGGGTTGGGAATAAGAAAGGGAGCTCCCCTATTTCTCCCGCTATATTATCCTGAATCTGGGGCGGCAAAATACAAGTATTGGGAGCTGGTCTGGATGCGGCCCGAATCGTTCCCTTGTCGCCTCGAGGAAGGGGGTCGGGCAAGGCAGAGCAGGCGGGACGAAATAGCTGCTGCTCGGGGATTTCTCGCTTGCCGCGCGAAGAAACGAACAGCCAACCCGAGAGTCTCGCTGAGCTCTTGGGTTGGCAGGAGGAAGGTTGTGGAGGGGAACGGGATAGATCAGTGATGGCGAACCTTTTAGAGACTGAGTGCCCAAACTGCAACCCAAAGCCCACTTATTTATCGCCAGGTGCCGGGTGGGTGTGGCCCACTGGGTGGGCGTGGCTGTGGTAGTCATGGCAGACTGGGTGGGCATGGCCAAGGTGGGCGTGGCCACCTCAATGTTGCTCGTGGGGAGGGATGCCTGTGGGGGCCGGACAGGGTTGGGGGAGATCCAGGGGGTCTCTGGCAGGTGGGGCGGTGGGCTGAAGGCTCGTCCTGTGGAATGAGGCGAGGCAAGGCGAAGCAGCCATTGTTGCAGGGCAAGGCGAGGCAGGGGCCGGGGCGGCTGCTGCCTGACACCATTGGCCCACGCACACAGAGGCCAGCGAGCGCATGGGAGCCAACAGTGTCCGTCAGCAGCCACAGCCTGCCGGCCCCTTGACCAGCACACTCTGGGGCTCTGCAGCTCGCTGCCAGCAGTTCAGAGAAGCCACCTCTGAGCTGGACGGACAGCTGACAGCTGAGGAGGCGATGCAGTGGGTCATGCCCGGGAAAAGGAGAGCATGCGAGGCCAGGAGGGATGGGACAGGAGGAAGGAAACCAGCCATGCTGGGATGCATCCGGCCACGTGGGACCTTGGCGAGTTAGCGGGCGGCTGGTTGAAGAGGGACGGTTGCCATCTCTGCACGTGCCCACAGAGAGGAGTCTGCGTGCCGCCTCTGGCACGCATGCCATAGGTTTGCCACCACTGGGATAGATTTAAGCAGCTAACAAGGGTGTTGTGGCGCTTTATGCCGACTTCGATCCGGTTCTTCTATTCTCATCTGGGTGAGCAAGAGGGCAAAGAGCTCATATATATGGATGAGAAAATGGCATTATCTTGTTTTACTGGTCAAATGATCCACTAGTATGAAAGGGCAAACTTATATATATACTACAAATAAGCATAAGCGTAATCCAAGGTTCTGAAGCAAATTTTGCAGATCAATCCTGAAATTTTCCTACTGTGTCAGCAGAAAGAGTTTTAGCAAGTGAGAGTTGTGCCCTGCTGACCCTCCCTGAGGACTTTTTATATCAGAGCACTGCATGCTTTAGGGCCCACTTTAGACCTGTTTGATCTCAAATTGCCTGTTTTGGGGTGCTGAGTTTGCTGGTGACTCTGCTTTAATATATTCGTAATCACAGCATAGCTAGTTTCCTGTGCATCATTGGGTTCTGTGGACCTTAGTGATATCATTCCGTTGCCTGACTAGGGAATTCTGGGAATTGAAGTCCATGCATTTTAAAATTACTGAGGTTGAAATACACTGTTCCAGAGAGTATAGCATCTGGTCTCTTCCTTATTTAGAACTTCCCTGAAAAAGTCACTATAGAAGCATGCAACCATGGTCCCATCTATTGGGGAAAGTACTTGGTTACAAAATTGCCAACATGCTGACATATCATTATCAGAATTCATAGAATTTTGAAAAGCAACTGAGGAATGGCAGCCAAAGCCTTTGAAATATTTCAGTATGGTCCTTTACATATTTTACAATCAATCCTAACCTTCGGAAATTCCCTACCATAATGACCATCAGATTTTATTCTGCCAGCATAAGATCCGAAATACAAATAAAATAAATGTACAAACCATGACTAAGGTTATCAATTTGTTCTCTTTTGCATGGATTGGAGATGAATCTTTTTTACTGCAGGACTACTGGCAGGTAGGAGATAGAGACAATGGAGGATGGTTTTCTGTTGATCAGCTGGGAGAAAGGAGAGTAAGCACTGCACATCTCAGGATGTTCTTTCTATTCATGGCCTGCAGGACTGAAGACAATTAGGTAAAGTTTACATTGTTTTCTAAAGGATTGAAGGGAGGGGGTAGAAATTCAGATGATGTGGATGAGCCCAAGTGGTGATGAGTAGGTCTTACTGTTGCTATGCAACACCAATAGTGGGCCATAAACCTTTCCAATCTAGACACTTCTGCACCTTTGCAACAACTGACAGTACTCTTGTACAGCTGCTTTATTACGTGAATAATATTTCAGTTATTCAGCTCTCCCCAATATAAAGTTTCTTCTCATATACTATAATGCATAAAATGCTAGTCCTGGTTAATGAAATTATTTACCCAATGCTTCAAATCATGCAGTCACCACAATGGATTTTTACAACACACTGAGCTACAAACTAGCTGATTGCATTTCAGTGTAGTGTGTTGTGGGAACCCAGCCTAAATGTTGTTTCTTGTATATTGCTTGAAAAGTTTTGTTAGTTCTAAAAAGAGCAGTGTAATTTCATTATTTTTATGTGAAATTAAGACAACAAACAATTGCATTGACGATTCTGTTTTAAAAACTTGTTCAGAGAAAAGACTGATATAAATAGCCAAACAAATCTAGATTATGAGCAAAGAAAGTTGCCAAGAAAAAAATGCTAGAACTAACCAGTTTTGTGCTATACATTTTTTCTTCCTTCTGTATTCATGCATATATCTAAGAACCTTACAAGCTATAAAGATGTTGATTACTTTAAAAATATGTCCAAAGCATTTATTAGCAAATGCAATAGATATGACTATGCATAATTCTATTTTTTGGAAGGCTCTACAGACCTACTCTGTTCATCTGCCAGAAGAATGGGAGAAAGAGACTGCACATTCTAGGATAAACTTTGATTTTAGTACAAAGAGAATCTGCTTGCATGCCTACTCAGAGCAAATCCAGAAATCAAAGCAGCTTTTTTTCATTTGTCTGAGTTAATTGTAACACCATGCAGGTATAAATTGTTTGGTTTTTTTTAAAAAAAATGGCAGTATTCTGGAAGCAGCACTTCCTCTTTTTCTTAGAAAAAGAAATAACTATTTATTTTTTGATGGAGTCTAACTATCCTGAAGTTTAAAACTATGAAGAGATAGAAACACAATCATTCATATATTTTCTTTATAAGCAAATTGTATTGCAGGGATCTTGGTGGCCCCAGATTACATAGGGCTCTTGTGAAGTCTCCAGGGAGACTTCACAAGAGCCCTATGTCTTTAATGTCCCTAAAAAGGGACATTAAAAATTGTGACAGAAGAGGAGAAATAAAGGTGAAATAATCATATTAGTCTTATTAAATTAACAGCAAATCAAATTTAGTTTTGTCTGGTCCCATGTTGCTGTTGCTCAAAGATCAAGTGCACTGCTAAACTTCCAATGGTTGTGCTTTTCAGTGCAATGGATAATGCTTGAATTAATAGTGCCAATTTCTGGCAATGGAGTCCGGTCTTTATTGCTTCCTACCACTCCACCAATAATAAGCCAATTTCTCAATAAAATCCTTACTAATCCCAATACATTTGGTTAAGGTTCATTCCTTAATGCTAAAGCTAGCATTTCATTTATCCAGTATTCAGCTATATCAACTAATTTCTATGAGATACAGAATTTAATTTCTGTCTAAACGGGGTACAGCTTTATCTCTGAGAAACATATCAGCAGTGTCCAAAGGGTAACATAAAAGCCAAAACAATTAAAAGGCAGAAGCAACATATCTGTGTTTTGTTTGCAGCTTTCCTGGGAACATGGCTTTCAGAAATGTGAACAGAAAGAGACATATTGGTCTGCAACAACTTTCAGCTTTGGCTTCCACTGGACGGACACTTTTAGGACCCATGAAATTGTCCAAATTTATAGTTGATGAAAGTATTCCTGGTGGTGTGTTGATTTGCTCTCCACTAAGACTTCTTGAAAACATGGACTTAAACAGTGCGGTGGGGCAGCTTCTTAATGAAGCCATCCAAGCACAGAACAAAGATTATAAAACAGGGATGACTACTCTGCTCTTTCTCGTTGGTGCATGGAGCAATGCTGTACTTGAGTGCCTTCAACATGATGTTCCACTTTCACTCATAGTAGCTATAATGTCTGAAAGTCTGGATTCTTGCATTGAACAAGTGCAGTCTATTACATTATCACTACACAACATACAGCAAAAGCTAAAGGATATTCCTATAGAATGCGATGACTTGAGTCTTATCAACAATAGCTCTAGCCCCTCTGGAAGGCAGTTTACAGACATTAAGAAAACAGGTAGCAAGTCTGGCACTAGTATTTTAAATTTGCTTAAAAATGAATTATCAGAAGAAAAATCAGAAGATCATATGATCGAGCAAATAAATGATATCAGTCCAGGCACCCCCATCATCAACAGTACGAAATGTTTACTATCTGAGTCAATGAGCAGCAATTTTGTTTTCAGTGTTTGCAAGACAATGATTCAGAAAAACTCTGATTTGCATAATTGTCATTTGGATGTATTGACTTATAACACAAGATCAAAATTAACCCACAGTAGATACTTTAGCTATGTAAATAAATGTCAGTCAGCACAACGAACAATACATCTGGATGGATGCCCAAAACCTTTTGACAAGTTCAGTTATTTGGAACAACTAGCGTTTTCTCTTAGCCATGGAAATGAATCTGCCACAAAACTGATACAGGACATTCTCAGATGCCAGCTTCCAGGTGCCAATCAAAAAACTGATACCTGTCCTTTCCAATTTAATATTTCAGAAATTGTGACATGCTGTTTATCAGGAATATGTGAAAGTCATTCGTGTGTTTACCCTGGCTTTATCACGCTTGTATGTCCAGCAAAAGCTGCTTCTATGAAGCAATTTCAGGATATGCCTATTCGTGTTATCCTTATAGATGGTGATCTAACTGAAACTTGTCACCATTTAGGGTTTAACAGGTTAGAGAATATGAGCATATTTTCAGAAAATATGTCTCATTCAAAGAAAAGCTCAAGCTTATGGGTTGATTCTATAATAGACATTCTGATTCAGTCTAATATTAATTTAATTTTGGTACATGGTGACACGTGTGAAATTCTAGAAGAAAAATGTCTCCTACATAAAATAGTGATAATTAATCATGTGGACCATAATGTGTTGATAGCTTTTAGTAATATTATGAGAGCTGAGATAGTGACTTATATCAGTCAAGTGAATGAGGATTGCATTGTCAAAGGCATATGCGTGAATCTCTATGGAACTCTGGAATTAAATTTGGTGGAGGTCAATGGCCAAATCCCACTTGCTTTAACAGCAGAAGGACTTCGATTGGTAACAGTTGTGCTCTGTTGCCCTTTTATGTCAAAGATGCAAGCCATGGAAGATCAGTTTTGGACCTGTGCATATCGTCTGCATCATGCACTTCTTGATCAGGCTGTTTTTCCAGGAGGTGGTGCAGTTGAGCTCCTATGCCTCAGTTTTCTTGAAAAACTAGAAAAAACAATCCAAAACTCTACAAGCCAGCTTCATTTTGCCTCTTCCTGGTTTACAAAATCTTCAGAACAATATAAATCATTGGTACTTAGTGTTTTGGCAAGTGGTTGGCGCCAGTACCTTTTTGCTGTCATGGGTAATGTAGCAAATTGTACATCAGAGTTTGAAACCAGCACTGTCATACAGCAGCATCTCAGAAGAGCAGCCATGTATGGTTCACCATCAGCCTACATCTTGGAGGAATTTAGGAAGGGAAAGATAGGAATAACCACTGAACATTCTATTATAAGTGGAAGGGCTTTGAAAGTGTGTGACAATATTACTGCTAAGATGGAAGCTTGGCGCAGAGCTCTACAATTGGTGCTCTTGGTCCTTCAGACTGATGCTGAAATTATTGCAGGCCCAAAGAAGGATGAATTGTTGAAATCACAAGACTCAGGTGACTTCCTGTTTTTATAGCACTCTGTTGCTGTTAATGGTTAATGAACACTATTAATAGCTATTAATAGTATTTGTGGGCAAAATCAGGAGCAAAAATATCTCTGAAAATTCAGTCCAGAATTATGGAACCTTTGTTTCAAAAAACAAAGTTCACCCTCAGGGAATGAATTCAGTTCGTGAAAGACTCATTTCCATTATTTCAGTATAAATTGTAACTCTGGTTTGCTTAAACCCCTTTAATTCTATGAAAATTTTGTCTTATCAAACAGAAATATTAAAGAGCTCAACTGCATAGAAAAGGTACTTTTAAAAGCAATGTTTGTATCAACATGTTCATTACATTTGTTTTAATAAATGCTTTTTGAGCATTTACATTTAGAATGTAAAACAAGGTTTTTAAAATGGTTGCATGTACAGAATGTGCATAAGCAATAAGCTCTGAAAAGTAATATTTTAAATATCAGAAATTATACTTCATTTTTTCTCTTCTGTTTTGACTTAAAATTTTTGAGGTTATTGCTGTTCTGAAAATCTGTATGTATAGACAATCTCTTATACAGACCCAGTTTCAAGTCTGAGAGGACTTTCTAGAAACCTGTAGTATAGTAAGGCAGACTTACATAGCCTGAGCTATTGCAACAGTATTCAACTTCTGAATCTAGCTAATTTTCTTTTCTCATACTCTCCTAATGTGCTCACTGTAGGGCACTATGATGGTATCTAAATGACATCAAGATCAGCAAGAGATGTGAGGGCATGCCTTCCCCCCCCCCAAAAAAAAAACTCTGACAATTTTAGAAAGAAAAAAGGGGGAAATAGATATTCTCCACTCTCCCCCATTTTCCCTTTGGATTTTGTATACATTTTTCTTTATTTGGTGTACTTAGACTCTGCTGGCTATGGCTGATTTGATAGCATGATATTCTAAAAAAAAATATCTAGTAAGCTAAGAGACTGGCCTGTATGAATCAAGAAGCTCCTGGTTCAAATCTGCAGGATCCTAATGAATTGTCTTCAGATAAAATGTAGTCTCCTTCAATCTTAAAATCTTGCAATATATATAGAATATTGGGATAGGATTATTATAAGAGTACTGAAATATGATGTTAGAGGTTTCTTGAATACCTAGGTAATATATTAAACCCATTATACATTCTAATGTGATAATTGCCCTATTAATTTCAGTGGGATGCATTAGAGAATTATCCAGATGTTTTGACTTTCATTGACAATGGTCCTAATGATCTATGTAAGATTTCTAGGGCAACACATTCAAAGCCCCACTGAAACTTTCCCTTCCTTTCTTCCTTGTGAAGAAACCACCTTCTTCCTATATCTGTTCTGTGTTCCTAACAGATTAGAGGCCTTCAAGAAAAGGAGAAAAAAATTCCATCTACTGACCAAACACAGCATACTGGAGTGTAAAAAGAACTGACTGTTCTTTTTAGCCAGCAGATGGCAACCTAGACTGCTATTTGCTACTACCTTAAATACAGTTAATCTTAAACATTTAAATTTAAAACAACATAATTTTGTTGCACGTAAAACCATATTCATGCAGTCTGTGTTCATACAGTGTGAGAAAGCTCAGTTAGAGAATCAAATAAAAGCATATTTGCACATCATCAGGGAAGAAGAGCTATTCTATCAGCCTGACCCAGATGCCTGATGTGGACCCAGTAGGTTTTCAGAAGGAAGTTGGGATTTTTCCTGAAGCTCTGCTATGTAGTTTGGAATGAACGTGCAGCTAGGGCCTTATATTGAATCATATATGTGCAGATGCTTTGGGGTTTTGGATCCTGTAATGCTCACTGTTTTAATGAAAGAACTCTTGGAGATGAAATTGTGCAGGAGATTCCTGGTGTACTGCTAGGGAAAGAATGAATCCAACTGAACATAGCTGAACAACCTTCTTTAGGACATACTTTGTGATAATAACAAGACATAAAGAAAACGTATTTCTCAGCTTTAAGCCCACCTTTCTCATATATATCACTCTGGACAACTTATAACAACTTATAACCCTGTTCCTGGTAACCAGGCCCCTATTTGGTAAGAAGAATCCAAGGAAATCCTTGTGGGGCCACTGGGTCAGGCATGTGCCAGATAAAATTACTCAGATTATTATCTTGGATTCCAGCTCGATAGTCCTATGAACGCGACTAGGGCATGTTCAGTTATCTGAACAAAGTTTCAACCAGTTGGTCCCGGAGAAGAGCAGGGTCCTTGCAGCTGGGAGCTCTGCCACCTGTGTTCTGGACCCGTGCCCCTTCTGGATTATCAAAGCTTCCTGGGAGATGATATATGGTTGCATCCAAGCGATGTTTAATGCCTCTTTGGAGAAATAGGTGGTTCTCTCTGCCTTGAAAGAGGCAGTACTTCACTTCAAGAAGCCATTTCTAAACCTGACTTTTTTTGAAAAACTTTTGTCCAGTGTCCTACTCTTCCTTTTTAGGAAGGTTGTTGATATAGTGGTAGGTACTCAGCTTCAAAGAGCCCCAGAAGAAGATTTTTTTTCAGTTGGGATTCAGGCTGAGTTATAGTAGTGAGAAGATATTGGTACTATGGAGTGTGGGAAAGACATTTTGAGACTGGTTCAAGCTGCCAAGATCAGATAAAAGACAGCAAAACCTCAGCTGGAAAGAAGGAAGGGCAAGAAACTCAGAAGAGACATTCCCAATTTTCTCCGATGATAAAGGAGATGTGGGGAAGAGGGAATTATACTTCCAGACTCACAAGATTCTGTCAGTGTAGCATTACAATAAAGAAGAATTAATTCATCTGGTTGTGAGTCCAGTCTGGTTTATTCCATGAGGCTGACATCAATCTAGATGCCCAGAGTTGCTTTGGATAGTGAGATGAGCATATAAATTTAGCAAATACAATCTCCCAAGTCTGAAATATTTCACGAACAGCTACAATATAGGTCTGTTTGCTGTCCCAGCAGACTAAAAACAATTACCCAATTAATTATTTTATTAGGCTAGTACAACAATGGTATCCACACCTTTCTGATTTCCTTGTGTACATAACTGTAGTTATAAAGCCACTATTTCATTTGTATGCCTGAACATGCTATGTGAAAAAGATTCTTCACTGAATGCATTTTCAGTGGGGATAAAAAGCAAATAGGCAGTTTAGCAGCCTCCTGAAACATTTGTCCTTGATAAAAGGAAAGTTTCTCATAGTGTACAACAGTATGAACAGGACCTACACAAGGCTTCTATGTGATGTGTTCCTTGAAATAAACAAGTAAAGAGGAGATAAAGTGCAGTTTGATATTTATGTTTACAAGCTTTATTTTTAATTTTTCACACCATTTCTAGAACACAGCAAATTACTTTTCTTTACACAAAAATAGAACTGCACACTTGTTTTCACCCTAAGTTTCTTTTGGAAAACCATGTTCTGAGTTCTCATAAAATTCCCATCCACATTAAGTGATACAAAAAATTTGGACTATTGTGCCATACAATACATTTAAACTTTTTGTTTGGTTTATCATGTTTCTTGAAAAAAGCCATAATTACTGGGTTTATGTATTGCAATAAATCAAAAATCCTTGTTCGCAAACCACAATAACTGGGTTAAAACCACAAACTAAAATCAAGAAATCATATGGTTTGGCACTATGCATAAGCAACTTTTCCAGCTTCCTTTTTGCCTGCTTCCATTTCCTATACGTCATGCACTTCTTGATGTTGCTTTTTCTACTGTATATGAAATGTGTTTTTTTGCACTTTCAGATCTGTTTTAATTAGCATCGTACGTAACATAGCATTAGTATATTATTTCCTAGTCTTTATCAGTCTTCAGCCAAAACAAGCATGCTTCAGAATAACAAGAGTTGAAAGAGACCTTGGAGGTCTTCTAGTCCAACCCCCTGCTCAAGCAGGAAACCCTATACCATTTCAGTCAAATGGTTGTCCAATCTCTTCTTAAACAACCTCCAGTTTTGGAGCACCCACGACTTCTGGAGGCAAGTCATTCCACTGCTTAATTGTTCTAACTGTCAGGAAATTTCTCCTTAGTTCTAGATTGGTTCTCTCCTTGATTCGTTTCCATCTATTGTTCTTGTCCTGCCTTCAGGTGCTTTCGAAAATAGGTTGATCCTCCCCCTCTTCTTTGTGACAACCCCTGAGATACTGGAACACTGCTATCATGTCACCCCTTGTCCTTCTTTTCACTAGACATATCCAATTCATGCAACTGTTCTTCATACATTTTAACCTCCAATCCCCTAATCATCTGTGTTGCTCTTCTTTGCGCTCTTTCTAGAGTCTCAACATCTTTTTTATATTGTGGTGACCAAAACTGGATGCAAGTGTGGTCTTACCAAAACATTATAAATGGGTATTAACACTTTGCATGATCTTGATTCTATACATATTCCCTATAACCCTAACCTACTGTTATTTAAACTCACAGATATTTGCATTTTAGATGTCTAAACACATGACATTAGCTTTAGGACCCTGATCTTGCACATAACCAAGGTACAATACTTTCTCCTCTTTCAACCAGATTGTTGACACATATATCTCAACATAAAGTGGAAGGGCAGGAGAGTACATTTTGACTGCAAACCCAAAACTCGGTGGGAGGCAGAAGAAACTTCCGTCTTGTCTAAGCAGGTTGTTTTCTGCTTCGGCCTTGAAGGAAAGGGAGAGAAATAGTTAGAGATCTGAAAGTAAGCAGATCACCTGGGAGAAGGACCAAAAAGGAAGAACACCTGAAAGAGTAGAGAAATTGATGAAAAAATGTAACCAAAGGGAAGACTGGAAATAGCTGTATGGTTTTGGTGAGCTATTTTCCATGAGTAACAGAAAGGTCAGCAGGAAGAACTGTATGTGGTAGGAGGGAAGCGGATCTCTGGGATCTAGGAGGATGTAACCCAAAGCCAAGAAAATCTTCAGGGGACTGCAAAGACCTGCCTGGGCATGAGAACACAGGAACTGGAGAAGAGAGAAGGTCCTGAACCATGAATCAGAAACCTCTAGGAAATTAACAGGAGACAAAAAGAATTACTCCCACTAAAATTTGGATTAAGGATTGCAATTTGTGGAAAACGGGGATTAGTCATGCCCATCTAAATGGAGAAATGACCTGGAAGATAATTCCTGCTCTTGGAAATAATATAAAAGTTCTAGGCCAGCATCTACAGTCAAATCACATTGCTTTTAGATATGCAAGTGGAGGCTTCATGGATTCTGATATT